TAGAAACACAATGTTGAGGAGAAAAGAGGCAAGTTCAAAAAGCCGATATACAGTATCCTACTTTTTATAAAGCTCAAAAGAAAAAGCACAGCTTGTTTAAGGATGCATATGTCTGTGACAAAATTATTTTTTTAAAAAGGTGGGGAGTGATAAATACCAAAGTCCAAAGAGAATTTTCCTCTGGGGAGTAAAGCAGAAGGATAGGATAAGGGAGGAGCACAAAGGTCAAGTAAATTATTGGTGATGATGCACTAGTTCTTGCACTGGGTAATCGGTTCGTCTGCTTATCTGTCATGTAGCGTTATAACTTAGATATTGTTGTTCTTGTTGTTGCCGTCAAGTTGTCTCTGACTCATGGTGACCCCATGAACAACAGAACAAAACATTTCTCGCTCCTGTGTCATTTTCGTGATCGTTAGTAAGCTTGAGTCTACTGTTGCAGCTATTGTGTAGTGCCTTTCAATCTAGGGAGTTCATCTTCCAGCATTCTATCAGACAATATTCTGTTGTGATCTATATGGTTTTCACTGGATAATTTTCAGAAGTAAATCACCAGGCCTTTCTTACTATCATGTCTTAGTCTGGAAGCTCTGCTGAAACCTGTCCACCATGGGTAAACCTGATGGTATTTGAAATACCAGTGGCTTAGCTTCCAGCAACACACATGCTATCACAGTATGGTAAACTGACAGATGGGTGGTGGAACTTACAGGTTACATATATTCTTTTGTATGTATGAGATACTATGTTAAGAAGATAGTAAGATTTTAAAGAGAAGACTATATCTGTAGTCATAATGACTTACCTGGGTGATGGAGTTCAAAAGGAGCTTAGAAATTATTTAACCTAAACCCCCAATTTTACATACGCTGAAATGACTTCCAAATTGTGAAGGACTTGGCCAAGCTTACACAACTCTTTAGAGACGGAGCTGAAATCTGAACACCTGTCTCATAACTCCCAGTCCACAATACTTCTTTTGATACTCATGCCCAAAATTGTTTTTCTTTGTTACGGTAAGTAAAGGCACCACTTCACTGGCCCTTCTCACAATGGAAGGGTAAACATCTCTGGTGTAGGAGGAAGGTTAAGAAATTCGCTGAGCAAGCAAAGTCACATATCTCTCCATTTGGGTCCTCTTCTGAAAGAGTGGCTGATTTTGACCAAATTTTACCCATATTAAAGTGTTTATATTTCTACCTTAAGTCTAGTTTCTGGTTGTTATCTTAAAATAAAGATTTTCTGGTTTTTGTTCACAGGCATGAAAAATTTGTCAAAGGGTATTGGTGATCATTGCACAATATGATTGATATAACTGATTTCACTAAATTGTATATGTGAAAAATGTTGAACTGACACATGTTCTGTTACCTGTATTTTTACAGCAATAAAAAAAATGGCAGGCCTGAAATTTACTGATGAGTATATTTTCTGTGATTAAGACTTAACATTTTGAATGTGCATGTGATATAGACTTGGCTCCAAGGAAGCAAGTGTCTATTTTCACCAGGCATTTGAATAAATGGCCGCAATTGGTAAAAAGAATAGTGATCTATCGTATCTATGTATTTTACTTACTTAATATCAAATATATGCCTCCCTTCCCCCAAAAAAAGAATGAGAGAAAACAGTTCAACTAATTTCGCCCATCCGCCTGCCATTCCACTTAATGGGCATATGCCATAGAATATGAAAAGAGACTGCTGTTCTCTCAGTGAGTCTCCATTTCTGTACATATCCTCATCGCTGTGTGAGAATCTCACCATACTGAGTGTGATCCTACTGTTGGAAACCATGTATTTTATTTCCACAACATAGCCCTTAAATGCTTGCCACCTACTTTTGGAGTAATGATTTATTTTAATCTTAGAGGAAAAATATGTTGTGTTGGACCTACTGAGAGTTTATATGTTTTTATACTATCCTTTATAAACAATTTAAGGAATTTTTATGGCCTGATAGTCATTACAGCTATTTACCAACTATTTCCAGTGTTCCTTCTGGGCACCTAATAAGGTTGCACTTCCCTCCACCCTTGAAGCCAGGGGAACCAAGGGACTTGCTTTCGCCATTGATATGAGCAGCAGTGAGGTACATAACATTCAGGAGGAAGCTTTAAGAGTCAGTGTAAGGTTTTCCATACTCCTTTTTTCCTGCACTGACAACTGTGGGAGTATGGACATGGAATCTTTCCAGCCTCCTTGAGAGAGGACAACATACAGCAGAGTCTCCTAGCCAACTTATGATGGAAATTTCACATGAGTGAAAAATAGCCTTGGGTATTTTAAGCCTCTGATATTTTGGGCTAGCGCATTCTGTCTGATTCAGAGGATAATTTTGATTATACAACATTTTTATTCCATCTCACTAACTTTAGATAATAATTTTCATATAAGTTGTGACTTCTTTATATATCCAGGCTTCCTAGAAACTATTCATCTAGGACATTGTAGCTTTCCATCCACAAACTTCTCCGAAGGAGCACTCAAGAACCTTACTGTGTAACCAACAATAGCCTCAAATGAGAATTGACGAAGAGGCAGCTATCGAGAAATTTGAATCAACATTTATTGATGAAAGAAATATACACAAAAGTTAAAACACTTAGTGAAATATTGGATTCACAGATTATTTCCAGTATAAAGAATGTCGAGTTATTTTACACATGAAATGTTACAGTAATCTGTCCACATTGTAAGAAAACTTAGAAGCTAAAGGTGAAAACGAGAGACCCCAACTACCCAAAATGTGCTTTGCCAACAAGGCATTTCCTAATACCATATATAAGAAACAACCCAAGAATTAGTTGAAGTTTTTATCATTTTCATTCATTAGTCTTTAAACACTATGTGTTATAGATATTCTATGTTACATGACTTCACACCGATGGGGATTGCGAATCTGAGGGAAACAATCTTATCTCTCATTCTGCACATACAAGACTCTTCAAAGAGAATCCTGCCTAAAGGTTAGTTTTCTTTCAGTAAGGTTTCCATCCAGAATTTGACAAGAGTTTAAGAAGCCACATTTTCTAGGAAAAAATTGCCTGTTCACCATATCCCCTTATTCCACTCGTCTGGAGAAGTCACTGCAAATGAATGTGCTTCACGCTTTAAGGGGATCTTAGGCTTCACTTCTCTCATGAAAAGAGAAGACCACTCAATGTTCCCAACAGCACATGGCCATTTCTTCTCTGTCCTTGGGGAGGAGGAGGAAGGGGTTACAGGAGCAATAGATCTCACAGCATTCCATTTAGTGACAATTAGAACGTGTCTTTTAGGAGGCAAGTGTATAATTACAGTCAAGCTCATCTGCAATCACTCAAAACACACACACAGAGCATATTAGGTACAGGAAGTCATACTTCCTTCACATATATGGGATCTGTGCTTCATCAGTTCCCCACCTGGCAACTCCAAAGCTGCACACTGACTGTTCCTGTGCTTTTAGTGTTCTGCCTTACTACAGACAACTGTGCATTTTCCTAACAGAACTGTGCTTTTGTGGGGTTTCGCCTGTATGGCAGAGACACATGTGATTTTTTTCTGTGCCCTGACTCAAGAAGTCAAGGGGGACAAGATTCTTCAGAATCTTTAAATCATGAAACTCATGATTAGTACTTGACAGTCAGAGAGGCTGACCCTTGCCTAAAGAAACGATGCTAACATGCACAGGAACAGAATAACCTTCAGCCACTCTGAGCCCAATCCGCCAAGTGAAGGAGGATTATAGATGAATGTCCTCATTCTAAACCTACCTAAGCCTGGATAATGAAAAGTTCCACAATTGCATTCTCTGTGCGTTACACTCAAGTCAGATGACCGTCCACGAAGAACCTGGACGCACATTCTCCCCACCACTGCTCTGAACTTTATATTTACAAAGGTGCTGGACACACACAGACTTTCAAACAATTATCAGTACAAAGAACTCATAGAGAAGTTCCTCACTCATACACATCCCCAAATCACATTACCAAAGAGGAGAAATGATTCACTGCTAGGTGTCTAAGAAAGAAAAGAAGGGTTTTCAAAACACCAATCAACGCGTCTACTGCACTTAGATGAACAGCCAAAAAATAACATTTAAATTAAATTACAATACATCTATACACCATTTCACTGAAATTACACAGTTACCTACAGTATAGCTACACAAAGTGCATAGGCACTGTTCTTCATGCGCGAACCGAGCGTCAGCGTGTACACACAAGAACTTCATGCTTTGACAGCTACCTGTACTTGAAAACCACAGATACAATCATTGCCATGTAAGGGTACATCTAATTTGTTTACTTAATGAGGAGCAGGCTCAAATACATACCAGTACACTTTCTATGTAACCAACTATTTGTTAAAACACAGACCTTGGCAAAAATATGAGCCCTACCAACCATATTAAGACATGTGTTTGGCTAAACGAAGACACCTTATCTTTGTAATGGCTACTGATTTGCCTTTTGTGGGGAGGTTATACAGTTTGTTGTTCACCTGAGGACAAACTCACCCGGAATTCTTCTAAACAATTTCAGTGTGACTCTAAGCTTCCACCTCCAGCCCCCAGTGATAGGGTATTGCTTCATAGCTGGTACTAAAAATGTTTTTTTATTTTCTTAGAAATATGTGCTCAATTCATGTAACAAAGTGACATTTACTATCAATTTGCTTGGCAAGAATTAACAGCAACAAATCTGTCCTGATTTGCTTCCTAGCATTCACTCTCCAATCTCTGCTACTCAGAGTTTTCCTGAGCCAACTTTCACATAAACAATTAGGAAGGCATGAGGGATTCTGATAGAGAAATGATTCTTCTACTATCACCTTGTCCTTGATCTTTTTTAGAGGAAAGTAAAATTGGAATGCTTAGCTGGAAAAACAAGTCCTGGTGTCCAAAATAAGCAGTCAGCACTGTTCCTCTTGCTAAAAAGATTACTTGTTCAAGTGTATTTCCTAACCAGCTAAGGAATTTAAGCAATTATGAATTGGAAGTGACTCGATGGCAACTTTTTTTTTTTTTTTTAATGGTCATTTTCTTCATTGCATCACTAAGGACTATGTTCTTAAATTTCTCAAGTGTGACTATGTGCTCAGGAAACAACCGATAGCTGTAAATTGCTGTAGAACCTTCTTGTGCTCTAATTAGTTATAATTCTATATATGTAGTTATATAGAAAATACCTTAAGAAAATATCTGTCTGCAAAATTACAGATACTAAATAGATTAATTCAGTATACACTGAGTTCTTTATGACTTCTGAAGGATAGATAAAAACCTGTAACATTACTAAAGGCTAAATTAATATTAAACATATAACATCCAAGATTAGAAATACATTTTCTCATGCTCTTTATAAATAATAGCAAAGAAGCTTGGGTATTTGTTTTAAAAAAGAATGTAAGATTGGGCTGGAGGAATTTGTGGGTTTGGGGTACAATACTGATCAGAGGGCAATATATTGTCCCTGGTAACATAGATTCTTACCAGGAAGCCAAAATACATCTGCTGGCAGCAAGATCAAATTAGACTCACAGTTTGCCAGCTCTCCCCTCAAACTGTAGAAAACAAATAGAAAAACAATATACAAAAATCCTCACAAAAGTAGCATTTTATATACAGTCTCTACAGTGATCAGATAATCTGATCCATGCCGTGAAGCATGGAGACCCAATGCTGAGGTTTTCCAGGGGAAGGAGGAAGAGAGGACATTAAGGTGATTGGCAGAAAAATCTAGATGCCAAAAGGTGAGTTTCTAGTAAGAAAATGAACTCTTACAGAATATTAAGCAAATAGCTTTCTGATCACACATTTCAGGGAATTCTCTCCATGGGGGAGAAACTTCAGAGATGTGCTGGACCAACCTCCTTGGTTAGTAATAGTGTGTGCGTTTCTCGCCTACAAAGGCATCAAGCCGTTTCCAGGCAGGCTAAATGGTTGCCAGGGGAAGAAACAAAGCCCCAGAAGGAGCAAGGCTCTGACTGCATCATCCCGTCTCCACTGGGGATGCTAACAAGGCTCACAGTCAGTTGCTAGTTCCAACACTCACCCAGGGACTGGAGGTGTCTCTAGGGGAACTGGGCACCTGTTGCTACCCACTCTCTTGGTCAAGTGATGACTGCTGAACGGTGGGATCTATTCCAGTAGCAGATTTTATTCTCAGCACAAAGGGCCCTACCTAATAATCAGAAAGACTTTTAAAAATAGAAATGGATATTTGGCCAGAGGTAGGAAAGCGAAGCAAGGCTGGACAAAGGGGGAAAAACAAAGAACTGACAGATGAGGAATTACTCAGGATGCTATTTAGGGTGAATGAAATAAGAACTTAGGGAATCCTCTCACTTTTCTATAAGTTCTTAGATGGGTCAATTAAGAAAGTCTTTATCTTGCTGCACTAATGGGGAAAAAAAAACATCTTTTTAATCCTACCTAGCTTAACATCTGGCACCCTCATATCTAAAGAACCAAAGTCTTTACTGGTAATGAAGGTACGCACAACACAACATCAACTCTATTCTGTACTTAGCAGAAGTCCAGACAAAGAGCAACGATGAAAGCAATGGCCCGCTGCAGCAGTGCCAGAAAGCACAAGAGGTTGTTCAAAGATCACGGCTGGTGACATGCACTTGCAGACCATGGATTTCCTGAAATGATCCCCAAAGCCATCCACCCTAGAACTCCTCAGGCATTGAAGGGTGCAATGGTAGTCAGCAAAACTCCATTGCAGTAAGTTAAAGCTTTTCTATGCGTGATGTGATGCCCATCAAAAAGCAAACCAGGAGGAAAACTGGAAAATGAATTCCATCAAACATTCCTGCATATCTCTCCAAAGAAGGGACTTGGGCCGGGCTCACCTGTAAATGGCTATGCATGAATGCACATAAGTGGGGGAGGAAAAGTATTTACAGACAGTTGTTATTACTGTCTAAGTCTTGCACCAAATTTCTTAAGAGTGTCCAAGTTTATTTGCCAAAGGCTCCCAAATTCCCATACTGTCTTGGCAGTTAGGACTGTTTGGAGAAAAACTGTGTGTTTTGGGTATTCAGAGTGGGCTCTGTTGCAACAGCACAAATGATGCAAGAGGTTGGGTGAGGCTGTACACTCGTCCAGTCCTCTCGGGGTGACACTAGGCACGTGCATTCTTCCCTGAGCTAAATCGCTACTTGTATTAGGACGGTGAGTTTACGTAAAGGGCAATTTTATAAAAGGATGTCTGTCTGTGTCCCAAAACACCAAGCTGTGGATTAACATGGCCATCTTCCAACTTTGTTGCAAAAAATCAAGTGAATAGAAGCTTGAATTTAATTTCCCCCAAAGGGAATGAGAAAAATTTAAATTGATTAGTAACTATTGTGGGCCCCTCCAACTTAAAATATAAGTACTATTCTGTGGTAGTAAGCCCTTAAGAAAGAATAAATTAAAGCCGGAATCACAACACCATGGGTTCTTAGAGCTGGAAGGAGGTTTTAATCATTTAATTCACCCTCTTTGCTTTACAAATGGGAAAAAATGAGGTTCAGAGGTAAAGTGACTCATGTAAGTCACATAGCTAAAAATTGGCTGAGTCTAATCCAGATGTTTCTTCCACCAAATCATGGTGCTCCTCATCATCTCTATGTCATGATCTGAATTTGCTGTTTTATGCTATGAAGTTTATATATTATCTAATTAAGCTTTCCTGTCATCTATTCTAAAGCCAACCCTCGTACTAACGTAATATGGTCGTTCACAGAGTTGTCTCTTAAGAAGCAGCAATGATGAGTGGAATAAGAAGAAAGGAGGAGGAAGTTGGGTTTTTCCTTAGGGGAAACCACAAGCAAATGTTGCAGGAGAAGCTTCTAACTCATTTCACCCAGCGAGAACAATCTGCCTGTTGTGCCACCTGATGGAGTTGGCACTCACTGGCCCTTCTACTAGGTTTTAGCTGGAAGAAATTACCCCAGACAGTGAGACCACAAATCTTCCCTAACAACTAGATTTACAAAACTCTCACTTTAGAATTCTTTCAAGCTCTTTGTTTTACTTTAATCTTCTTAGACCCCCAGCACCTATAACCTTATTCAAAGAGCAAGAATCACAGTCATTGAAAATTCCATTTGGTCCTTCTTCTTGGCTTGGAATGAGTTTAATTGGAGAATAAGCAAAGCTAAACCAGCGACCCAGACAGCTGCATGGTCCCAAGAGTTAAAGAGCAGCTAGGCAAGAAGAACCACCTCCACTGGGTGTAAACGCTGAGTACTTTTAGTCATCAAACCAGGCGAGCGCTGCTGAGACTTGTTTATCAAGAGTCTGAACTATGGAGACATGTACATCACTACTTGTATTTATTGCTGTATTTAATGGGAAAATATTACACAGGTAGAAACCTTGATTCCGACAAAAGTGAAAAATTAAAACATAACTTTTGCTACGGAGAGCAAAGGGAGGTATGGTTTGCAAAAACATGACAGGATTGGGTTTCCTTTTTGGGCCCAGTAGATGATTACCCCACCCATCCACTCTGAAAGGGCTTCTAGACTAGACAAATTTGCAAACGGCATACTTCCCCATGCGCTAGTGGAAATGCCAGAGATCCTCTAATCAAATGGTCATTGTGATTCCTGGCATCACCTAACAGGAGTATATCTCCCTGTGAGCTGAATTTCCGCTAAGCCTTTCTCAGCTTCCACAACTAAATCCAGGAGCTAGGCATCTTGGCACTCTTTCTTTAGGCTTTCACAAACATCTAGGCTGACTAGTGGTTAGAGAGAAGAAGTAAATATTTGTCTATTGGGGGGCATGGTACCTTCCTCAGGCAACGAGACTATAGGCTGTCTTTCCACACCCAAAATGAAGTAAAAGATTGAATCTGATAGTTATTTGGCACAGACATTGTCACCTGAAGTCCCGTATTGAGGATCTGTACAATCTAGATGATCGCCTTGAGTCTCTGATGCTTTTTACATGTTGTTGCAGTTCTGTGCCATCAAGTCAATTCTGACTCATAGCAAGCCTACAGGTCAGAGTAGAACCGCCCCCATAGGGTTTCCAAGGCAGAAATCTTTACGGGAGCAGCTGCTGGTGGGTTCAAACTGCTGACCTTTCAGTTAGCAGTCAAGCACTCAACCACTGTGCCACCAGGGCTCCTTGCTCTGCGCAGCGCAGAGACAGGCACATCCTGAAAGCTCTGCGGTAAAGCATTACCTTGAGAGACAATTCATTCTTCTTACTGTTGGGATTTGATCCACTGGATTTTAGTAATCACATGGAGATTCCACTTGGGTTCCCCAAAGGGCAAAAATGAGAAAGGGAAGGATTAAAAGTTGACTTAGTTGGTTTACTCCTGAAACGATTCTCTGATTCCCTATAAGGAGCTGAATGAGTCTAAAACGCAATGGTGATGCCAAAGCACTGACTTACAGGCCGGTTTCCTCTTACACGATGCAGTGCATGTATCTATCCGGCCTGCTATGTCTGTATGTAAATATAACATGTATGCATTATCGTATATTAATGGACTATTACAAGCATTCATATCTGTGTTGGATCTATTAATATAAATCTCTGCATATAACTGACAGGTTATACATACCCCATTTACAAAAAGGTCACTAGAGGTATACTCTGGATTCATTTGTTCTGTTTATGGCACATATGCTGGGCAAGGAAACCCCAATGGGTGTGGCATGGGAAGAATAAATTAGGCCTAAAAAACCAGAGCATATATTCATACATCAGCTCTACATACATCCTGAATTTTCATGCTAGTCCTGAATTTTAGAAATTGTTTATTTTTAATATGATTTATTGCATTTCCAGCTAAGTGTGATTTCCTAAGTATATTTTCATGAGACTTAACTGCAGAGTCTGAAATTAAAAAAGCCTGCTTTGTTAACCTTTATGCACCTTATTTCTTTTGAACATATTGTCCCTTTATATATTTATTGGCTAACAGGACGGCTAAGGAAAAAAACTGAAGATAAACAAACTGGAAAGACTTTCAGGCAGAGTGCTGGGAAGACAATCCTCTGGAAATACATTTTGGGATTCAGGGTTTGACCACTCATTGAGAAACACGTCAGTGTATACAAGCACGAAGCTGGCCTTCAACAACTCCTAGATGCTTTGTCTAGATCCTTCTACTCACCATAAACATGCTCTTCAGAGCACCACTTGAGTTAAGACAACCCTTACCAGTTTCACAGCTAAATCCAGGTCCCCTTAGCCCACAAGGTCTGCTCTAAAGGATGCATTTTCCACTACTACATTTCAGCACATCCTCAGCCACTTGGTAACTTGGCAGCTAATGAAAATGAAAACCAATGCCATTCTTTTTTTTTTTTTAAAAAAAAAAAAAAGCTGCTTAATACTGCTCGATAGTGATCCTTTTCCAAAAATAACGTGTTTAAGAGACAAGAACAACTGAAACTCATGTCTCTTGTATGTTTCAAAGGTGTCTGAGTTAGAAGAGAGGAGTCAGAAGGAGTAGGTAATAAATGGTACGTGATGTCAATAACACCTCACCTCAGAGAATTTGCGTTCTCTGACTGTTCATGAATATCTCAGCATCCATCTGCTCGCTTTGGATAACACACCCTACTCCCACGTGTGGGCCAAGTTCTACGTACTCCTTAGAGTCAAATGTGCTATATTTCTCAATTATTCACGTTCAGGTCCTCAACAAACTCTCAAACCCAGCAACCTAGGAAAATACTGCGGGCTATTCAATAGTAAATGATAGCAGAGACATTAAAAAATTTAGTTTGCATAATCAATCAATAAGAATTCACTGGGTGCCTACAGCATGCAAGGCATTGTGCTTCTCCAGTTATATATGGTTTATTCCTTCTAACTTTCACAGCCTTGAAAAGATCGCCTATATTGAGTTGTGTACAGTCATCCCACTTCACGGTTTAAGGCTGTTTAGACTCTGCCATAGGAATGTCACCTTTATACGATTTTGCACATGCTTGTTTTCTGTTCTTTTGCACAGAGAAGATTAGAGAAGAAGACTGGCTCTGCTTCCAACTGTGTCCTGTAACTAGTTTTATGTGCTTTGATACAATGTAACAAAAAGCTTTCTGCATATTAGATAAATATTAGTTTTTTGTTTTTTAAGACACGGAATTAAAAGATGCACAGCCAACACAACTATCCTCCATATGTAAGGAGAGTAAAATGATTAGGCCTTCTAGGCTGATGAGAATATCACTGAACAAGATGGGGATTAAAAGTGTCTCTTTTGTTAGAACCCAAAGAAGGATCTTAGGGGCAAAACAAGAAAGTGAAATAGAGATCTAATAATCTCACTTGATTTCACTATTCCAAGTGAACGTAAACCAAATATATATGAATTTTTATAGATGAATCTGGTTAAAATTTATATTGACTGTGCTTCTTTATTTTTGCCAATATATACAGTGGTCATATGTAAATTACTTCCTAACCATTATCATATTTACCACTAATTATAAACATACTTCGAATTTTCAATAATTATTCACACAAACCAGATAGAGTAGGGTAGAGAGACGCAGTGAGCTCCATAATCAACTTCCTTTAAGACTATGGCTCCCACTAAAACGTTGAAACATTTAGCTTAAAGAGGCTACAGAAAATAAACTGTCAGAGTTCCCTAAGACAGGGGCTTGCTTTTAATCAACACAGGTGCCAAACTCTACAAGACTTTTAAGGGAAATGACTTCTAGAGACTTCTAACAAAATCTATTGTGCGTAACAAGACGAGACATGGAGAATACTTTAAGGAATAATATACTGTGTGTTTGCTCATTATCCCGAGTCCCTGGAGTGTACCACACTGCTTCAGCTGTGTCCCCTGGGAAAAGAGCATCCACGTTCTGCATCTCGAGAGAAAGGGGAAGCTGGCAAGAATGTGTCTTCGATTCAAACTGACTCCTCCAGCAGCATCCATTCAAACAATAATACAAGTGAGAGAATTAGACAGTTATGCAGCATTATTTGGCAAAGACACAGCACCGTGCCTATCATGACCGACTCACAACAGCGCCTCTAAGCCTCAGCTAACAGATTAAGTAAACATAGAAATATCTGTGGGTTTTTTTCCTTCTTTAAAGAAAGCTTGTTTAATCATTATATCATTTTTTACCATAAGATACGCTGGGGAGTTTATTCAAGAATTTGCTGAGAGTCATATCCTTATTTTTCACGTTTCCAAGGCTCGTCCTCAACACTGCAGTCGGCTGACTTTCCGTTGGCTGCCAGAGTTACCTGAAAATAATTATCATCAACATCTAGCTTACAGGCCATGAACTAGAAAAAAAAATTCCATGGGTTATGTGGAGGAGCACCAGATGTAGGGCTAGACCGTATCACTTGAATATTGCTTTAAATGTCGTCCCTTTCAAATTAGTTTTGAACCTATCTTGGTTTTCAACACTGATTCATGAACATTAAAATGTACATGTTTGCCTCAGTAGTATCGAGAGACTACAGATACTTCACAATTTGGGCAGTTAACTTCTACTATGCTTTTAGGGTTGTGGGGGTGTCTAATTACCCACAGACCCATCACACAATAACACAATCCTTAGAAAAGAGTGTCCATGTGCTACTCCGTACAACCCCAGAGAACAAATCCAGAATGAGGCAGCTAGTTCTACTCATGCATGGGAAAGGTTCAGTTACAATGAGGCCAGGTGGGTTATACACATGCCCAGTTTTAAAATCAGAAATCACACAAGGTTTAGCTCTGCCAAATAAGCTGTCTAGGCTTTAAAGATTTTTTTTTTTTTTTTTTTTTTTAAGAGAGGAGGATTAAAAGCCTGAGATCAGTGACCTTGTATATCTAAATTATTTCAGTGTCGGTATCTAGTAATCATATATAACCACCAAACTGTCTATATCATGTTTCCCTGGCTCAAAGCAAACTGAACCCTTACACAGAATGGGAAGTTTTCCCCTCCACTTCTATGTAGTTTTCCTAGCTTACCTTCTGTCTGTCTGTCCTCAACGTCATGTGCAAACTTAAACCCACGACTGATATTCCACATAATGGAGAGACTGGATTTATGGAAGCATTGGGATATGGAGACATGACAAACGCAGCAATGTTTGAAAGAAATTTGACCTTCTTCTTACCCACGTGAAAGTGAAATACATGCATTATGAGCACACGCAACATGCTAGGAACAGAAAAGCAAGTGCCCTTCACAAGCCAAGCAAATGAAAATAAAAATCCATTCATTCCTCCAGCCCCCACTATCCCCTCAAATTTTTTCAAACTGTGCAATAAGCAATAATTGCTCCACATGCAGTTATGCTGATTAAAATAAAACAGCTATTGCATAACTTCAAACGACTATTACCAGGCATGATTTTGAAAACAGAGAGGCCAGCGTAACGTAACAATGCTTAAAGTTTTGACCAGAGCTGCAGCAAAGTTGTTTCCTCTTCAGTGAACTGTCGAGAAAGGCTGCCAGGGACAGACTGTCTGTCTAGAGAAAGCCGCCTTTCACGATGACCTTGAATGTGCCTGTTTGGCTTTCAAGGATGAACGAGATCAATAGCAGCACAAATTTATAAATCACATTGTGGTGCCTTTGGAAGAACCCGATGGCACATGGGGGAGGTTTCTTTCTTTTCTTTTTTAAAGACTGAAACCTATGTTTCAAATGTAGCTGGGACAGCTTTCTTGGCATTTCCTTTCCTGGCTGGGTGAAAGGAAGCTGGGACTCCCCTGCCCAACCCATTCCACCCGTCTCCGCCTCAACCACCAGGGTGATAGGAAAGCAAAAAGAGGAAGGGCTGTCAGTAAGCACTTCATGTCTCCCATCTCAGTTCTAAAAAATGGGAAACAGTGAGATTGAGAATTGACCAGAGGGAAGTTTTAAAAAATGCATAAATGTGACCTGGATATTCTGGAAAAGGAGTAAAATCATCTCCATAGGTCTGGGTGCTCCCTGCCCATGTTAGTATTGACAGAGGTAACTGATCTAGTACAATAAGAGTAAAACTGACCCACCTAGCAAATACTGAGGATCAATTAATCTTCACTGAGCTCAGCCCAATTGCTTCTCTGAAAACAATAAATAGCTAAAATGGTTATTAAACCAATATGGCCATTTTCATCATCTCCATGACCTGATCAGTTTGGCCATTTGACCATCTAAATGCTAATTCACCAAGGAGTCTGCAGATGACTGGTTGGATGGTCGATATTACATAGAGACTGAATTGCTATCTCTATGGAACTTTCCAGAAAAAACTTTATCTGAAATAAACCATGGGATTGAGATGTTAAAAGGATATAGTCAACAAACATTTATTGAGTACCCACTACATGCCAGGCACGGCTTTAGGTACTAGAACACAGCAATGAAAATTGGGGACAAATTCTCTCTTTTTATGGGCTTGCTTCTTATGAATTACTTTGATTAAAAAAATGAAGCAGACGTCTTCAGATGTGCTTGATAGTCTCTAAGAAAAAAAAAAATTCAAAGAAGTATGAAATCTAAAGATATTTCCATGCCCATATACCTTCTTTTTCAAAACACGTCCTATACCAAAGCCCTTTGAGAAGCCCCAAATGGGCCACGCCATAGGCAATTAAATGCTAGGATTATTTTACATACAATTGCCAAATAAAAAAAATTGACTCCTGACAATTTCATTTTGTTTCTTACTATATTTTTTTTTTCTTTGTATGGTAGTAATTTGGGTCTACATCTTGCCTCCACTACCAAATTACACATTCATTTGCTGTCCCCCAGTGCCTAACTCAGGGCTTTGCAGATAATGGGCACTCAACAGAAACTTAATAAATGTCAAAATACAGGAGGTCACAGGAAAGAGATAGGGCATTCAACTAAACCCTACAAGGCACATAACAAGTACTTGCTAAATATCACAGAGCACGAAGCCAGTCCACTGGAATGTTGGCCCCAGCATTGTAGTTCTTTGTCTTTAGGCAATATCCTCATGGTCCCAAACTGACATTTTGCTGGGAAATAATCCAGCACATTCACTCAAATGTGGGAAACACTAACTTTATGTGCCCTTTAAGTACACCTGCATATCGAACAATTTGAAACATTTTTACTAAAAGTCAATTCACTAATGCAATTGCCTCTAGATGGGTGGATTCCCTCCCTGGTTTGTGTGTGAGCCATGGTTCATCCGCACGTGCACCTGACACAAAGGGGATGAGCAAAAAAAAAAAAAAGACTGTTATGGTCCACCAGAATTCTGGACCTATTTTTCAGTCTGGTAAATAGACTTGCTTCTGTGTCACCCTCAGTTGCCTGAGGTGTTTATTTGGAATGACCCAGAAGTAAGTCAGGAAGAAGCCAACTAAGAAATGAAGACTTACCAACAGGAATACAAGAGATATCAGACACTTGTGTTGGATTTGTATTGTCCTCAGCTGCTGCCTGGAACCATTTTAGCAAACCAACCCCCAGAGTTGTCTCTTTGTTCACCTGCCAGATTTCTCCAAGTTTGCTTCACTCTGGCCATGACACTCCATCTTTGACAACATCAGGTTAGTTACAGTGAAGACCAGACAGAGCCTATCAAGCTTTGCAGCCTTAGCATCCAACAGCTTGGAGGAGAACCCA